AAGGGACATAGAATTTTTAAAACTTTATAAAAGTAAACTGAGTTCTTGATTTATACAATCCGTTCTCTCGGATTGACAATCTGTTATAACAAATTGCCAATTCATTCTCACAGATTATCAATTCGTTCCCTCAAATTACACAATCCATTATCTCAGATTGTATAATTCATTCTCTTAGTTTAAATGATCATTCCCTCGGAATGTAAACCCTTCCCATGATTTCGTTTAAATTATTTATCTGTACATATTGGATATGGTAATACATGTTTAAAAAATAGAATATTGTAGTATTTTACATCCTAACTTTTATTACATATTATGGTCCAAAATGAGAAAAATACGTGAACATTTTCAAATCCATGTGCTAGTACTGATATTTGTACAACAAAAAATCTTAGAGGTTTTTGTGTTACTTGTATATTAGAATAATTGAAAGTCCTAGATAGTAAAAGTGAATATGGGTCCTGTGTAATCATAATATTTCTAAAATAAATATACGTTGAATTAGTTATGAAAGAGGTTTGAAACGACTGGTTGCTGAAACAAAATAAATAGAACGCACTTATTGATTAAAATGGTTGGATGTATCTGTACATATATGTAATGAAATCCAAGAGCACAGATTTCCAAAATCATAAGACTGACGTTGTAACAAATTGAGATGTTGAATTATCAATCTGTGAAAACAAATTACCGGTATGTAATTGGAGATCTCAAATTATGAATCAAGGGGGCGAATTAGTAATCCTTAAGATCGGATTGTGTAATTCATGATCTCATATTATAATAGAGGGAACAATTTAGTAATACGTGGGATTGGATTGTCTAATTTGATTCGATATCATTTTTTACTTTTTTGAAAAATTTACGTGTCCCTTCCTGGCTTTCGTAGCAATTTAATGCCAAATTTTTTTACATGTTGCAATAGCGTAAACAGAGGTCTGGCTTTAGTCAGATTGCCATATATGCTATTTGTTTTAGTTCAGTAATTTTACCATGATGGTTTACTACAAGGTTGTTGAATTATCAGTCCTGATACATTGACTTAACAATATCATTTAACTACTTGGATCACATAATAAATACAATTTTAATTTTAAAAGGAAAATCAAATAAATGTACCGGTAGTAATTTTAGCATTCTTAATTTTATTTATAAATATAAATTTATATACACAATGACATGTATCTGTTTCAAAATACTTAAATCTTTTACAGGATAGAAGCTGATCACTTGTACTTGACAGCAAATAATAATGGACAAGTCAAAGAATTTCCTCCAGTCTTACAGAGAAATGACAGTTGATAAAAGAATGGTGGACACAAAGTAAAAGTGCTCTTCAACATTTTGTTCTCTTCAACATTTTGTTAAAGATTTCAGTCTGATTTGGAATTCATCTTGCAATATTTCTGGATTTGTATATTTGGATATAAGCGTCAAATTTTCAACGTATTGACTAAACAGTTTTGCATTAAATATTGCCAATGCTATTTATTATTTTATTATTTCCCTCCAAGATAACATGTCAAGTCTTTATTGTACCCCTTTAGCTCTGTTATACCAGAAAAATCTTGTAATGAAATCATTTAGTTTTTTTTCTTGTTTGATTAAATCCATGAAAATAAAGATTATTTTTATTGGCATCAAGAGAATGGATTTCTTGTTTAACAAAAAGATAGTATACATGTTTTGCTAGGGCTTTGTAAGAAGCAAACCAGAATTCTTTGCTTGCAAATTTTGTTGTTCGCCATTTTTATTACGTCAACTATTAGATGATTTATCCATGTTTGAAGCATTTCATAATTGATATTTACTTACAGTTCAAAGCAGAATTCTGTACTGATATGACCTTGACCCCCTAAAGAACAAGAGTGTCAAGGTCAATTTTTAATACAAAAATGTTCTTTCATCTTTATGACCCATATCTTACAAACAATATGATGAAATATACAAAAAGTGTCTCGAATGTGTCCAGAATGTGAAATAATAAACATGTATATAGCCAAACTTTTAAATGATGTTGCTTAGCAACCACTTAAAGGTCATTAAACAGATATTTGAACTAAAATGATCCATGGATATTGCAGTTCTGATCCCTTCTTGAGAGTATATTCAGAATTTTCCATTTCAGCATCTATTGTGTAAAATTATGGCAAGAATATTGAAAAGTGTTGAAAAAAATTGATGAAACTTTTGCACTTATTTGACCTTTGACCTCCTAAAAATAGTTCTAATGAGGTCAAACTTTAAGACAATTTATCTGTTGTATGTCCCTTGTAATTTTATGACCTCACATCTTACTTTTATATATGCTGGGATGCATAAATGTGTGTAGGATGAGTAAAAAATGAAAATTTCTGCCCAAAAATTAAAGAATTCTGCGTTGCTTAGCAACCCCTTTTAAGTAGTTATATGCAGAATTGAAAAAAAATTTATGTGTTTCATGTAGTACAGTATAATGCTCTTTTGTGGGTATATCCCAAATTTCCTATTTCAACATGCATCATACTTAATATTTAGCTTAAAGATGAAAAAGTATCAAAAAATCCCATAAAATTTTGCACTTAATTGACCTTTGACCTCAATTTTTACTAATAAGGTCAGTGGTTGAGTATCTAAACAGTCATAAAATATCATCTGTAAGAAATTTCCTACAAAATGGTATGCATTATGCCTAGCTTTCTCCTTGGATAAAAAAGTTAGAAATAATTTAATAATGCCATGTCAAAAGGTCTCCAAAATCACGTAAAATGCGCTGGAAGAGAAAGGGTTAAGGAATGAAGCTTATTTCTACTTATATTATACGATATAACATAACTTGGGGCAGTTTAAGCTATATAAACCGCTTCGCGGTTTATAAAAAAGCGTAAACTGACCCAAGTTTTGTTATATCGTAAAATATAAGTTGAAATAAGCTTCATTCCTTATAATTTAATTTCAGTGCAGACAATTAGATAATTTTCTCCCCAGAATAAGGTTTCATAATGATTTAATTTTAAAAGTAACGTCAAGTGGAGTAATACGTTTTTTGATGTAACTCATTGTGACGAAGGAAAATTATGTTATCCAAAATGAATCTTTTATCCAATCAAATAGCGTGTTACAAGTAAAATTGATTTATTGCAAATTATGAAGTACCATAGGTTAAATCCAGGGTATTACTTGAGTGTGTTTAACAGTTCAATCACTTGTGACGTCATTTGAAAATACGTAAATCGTAGCCAATAACCTACTAAACACATAACGAACATGTTTTACACAAGTTTAAGATAGCCTTGTTCAGATAATTTTATTGAAGGAAAACATTGGCAAATATAAATGTTTTTGAATCATTTTTTTAAATGAATGCATATAGAATATCTTTTGATGATAGTCCCTTAAATACATACCTAGCTTGGACCAGCTACAAAATGCTTCATATATGTACGCAATGATGCATGTATTTATGATTTAGATAAAATCAGGAAGGACAAAACTATTTTGATATATCCGTCTTTAATAAATTTCTTTTCAGTCTCGAGTGCAACTTTTCATTATGTTGATCACATTTTGATTTTTACTTGAAAAAAGTATTAAATTTTTCTAAGAGCAATCAACTTTAACCATGCATGCAAGAGATATTTGAGGAAAAATATTTACAGTATTGAAATTATGAATAGACTTTAACAAATATATATTCATTAGAAGAACCGTGTGATCTTCACCTGGGTGGTCTGGGTGGCCAATATAACAGATTAAATGATGAAATATGAAGTATTAAATATCAAACTCCATAAAATAATACGAAAAAGAAGCAGAGCAAACACGGACCTCCGAAACATCAGAGATGGGATGCCCTGGAGGAGTGAGCATCCCCTGCTGATCGGTCACATCTTCGTGTGCTCCTTGTCATGATCGTGAAATAACGAAAAAATCCGTCGTCAATTCAGTGTATAAATAATGGCAAAACAATAAGTGTAAAAAACGTCAGTCAGCATTTGTCTCAATGATTGTATTTGCTGACAAAGGTATTGTATAGAATTTAGGAAATGATGATTTTAAACGAGACTGTTGATATTCTTGTTTCATTAACTTGCTTGTCAATATACACTTCCTTTTAGGAATTGTTCATACGTAAAGCATGCTCTTGCGTATCTAATCAACTGAGATATATGCACACCGTATGCAGGTGATGAAGGTATATTGCTGCATAAGAAAGTTGATAATAAAAAAGTTAAAGTCGTCACGTTTATCATATAGCCTGGTTGTTAGATTACAATTAAGGTCTTTTTCATGTAAAATATCAAGGTATGAAATAGATGTGTCAGACTCTGTGCTATCTTTTATCTCAAGCTCACCTGGATATATCGTATTGACGTAGGAATCAAAATAGCCATTGTTAATTGACAATACGTCGTTGAAATATCTAAATGTCGGGTTGAAGGCCCCAGCAAGTGATTTTTTCTTTTCACACATCAGATTTTGCACAAATTCTGCTTAATATTAATATACATGTAAATATAGGTCTGCTAACAACGGAGTGCAGTTGGTAGCCATGGGAATTTCTATATAGATTGTTGGAATACCGGTCTCCGAAAACCACATAAATATTACTAATCAGACACTCAGCCATCTCTTTGATGTCAAGAAACAGAACATTCCATTTATCATTACAATCTGACAGTAAGTTAAACGTTGACTAACCTTTTTCAACCAACTATTTAGCAATTAATTTTCATACCGCATAGTATTTTAGGGTTTTTTTCTGTTTGCCGTTTAGGACAAGAAGCACGCGATTACGGGGATGCTTACTTCTCAATGGGACCCGATTCTACCTCAGAAGTATTTAGATATCCGTATTTGCTCTAGTCCCAATCTGTATTATTTCAATTGACATTTGCTCTGAATGTACCTTCGTCCTTCTTCGTATTAAATCGTTATTATTTTAATGGTGTTAATATACTGTTCATTATTTCCATATATTTGATGATGGTTGTTAATTATTACTCCCTCTTAAACAGATCAGTTACTTCGCATCAACAGATCAATGTTACTACTTGCATCTACACTTTCCAGGAAAGTGAGCGACATAATGCGGTATGTTATGATATGCTGTGCCGCATAAAACAATTAAAATACTATCAAGAGGACTGTTCACATTTTCCTTTCATTCACAATGACAATTTGAAATGCCAAAAAAATTTAAATACACGGCTTCAAAGATTAAATTGCTCACATTTAAAAGGATAATGAAATATTTCGTTATTTCAGTATGTTACATGACATAAATGAACATTGATAAATGTGCTATAATTTTCAAAAAAATCCATTTCCGCCAAATATTGTACACACTGAATTTAATATATTTACAGTATTATAATTTAAAATTTTAAAGAATTAATATATACATCACCCCACAAAGTTTAAAATCATAACAACAAATTCTCTACTGTACATTAAACTTGATGGAAGCATGTTTTACATTGGTAGCTCTATGGATTGGCAATATGCCAGCATTCTCTATGAAGACAGTAACTATGGCATTGATGGGTACACAGAGATCAAAGCTGCAGCGGAAAATGCTGGGATTTGTTTTGGATTCGAAGAGAAAGTAAAGGAATCAGCCGAAAAAGATGAACTGCAGAGGATTGCTGATAATCTAATGAAAAGGCGAAACTCAGAGGGTTAGTAAAGAGATTCCAAATATTTTTACATTTAACATTAAAGAAAATTAATTTTTAAACTTATTTTGAACACTTAAATTGTTATAACCTTAATAATCTTATAACACTGCAACTATATAGCAATTATGATAATTATTTTATCATCTTCGCCCGCGTAGCGCAGTAAGTAAAACGTTTGCTCTCTAGTCGAGTTGTTATGAAACATATGGAGGTAACGAATATTATTCAAGATCAAAAGTCCATCAACCAATACAATGAAGGAGCAGAGCAAACACTGACCTCCAAAACATCGGACGTGGTATCAGGTGTCATGAAGGAGTGAGCATCCCCTGCTGACCAGTCACATCCGCCGTGTGCACCTTGTCATTATCCGGAATTAGTATGAAAAATGTCAGTCAGCATTTGACTGAATGATAAATTTTATTTGCTGACAAAGTTATTGTATCGACCATAGAACTTTCAACATGACACTGTTGATATTCTTGTTTCATCAACGTGTTTGTCAATAATTTAACTCGTTTGATAAATTTTTCATAAGTTGTTTGCGTATCGAATCAACTGAGATACATACACTCCGTATGTGGGTGATGAAGGTATTTTGCTGTATATGTAAGGAAAGTTGACGAATGAAAAGTTAAAGGCATCCTGTTTATCATAGATTTTGGTAGTAAGATTACGATTAACGCCATTTTCAAGGAAAATATTCAAAATGGAAAAAATGTGTCAACAGACTGTTGTATTTTTTTTTTATCTCAAGCTCATCAGGATATATCATATCGGCATGGAAATGGAAATTTACAATTGTTAATTGACTTTACGTCGATATATACAAATGTCGAGATGAAGGCCATAGCAAACATTTCCTTCTTTTCAAGTGTAAGTTTTTGCAAAAAGTCTGCTTCATATGAATATAAAAATAGGTCAGCCAAAAACGGGGCTTGATTTTTACATCGCTGGCTCGATTCCCAATGAATCGGGAGGCCCAGGTTCGATTGTCGTTTGCGGCGCCGCGTCCTACCTAAGACATAAACATAGGTTATTGACTGTTCCTTTGCCAAGCACTGGACACTAGAAGAGAAAGTCACGGTTCTTTCGGATATGACCTTAATAACGGTGTCACGGTAGTTATGGGCTTTGGCACGGTAAAGAACCCTAACTGCTCAATGACCCTGAGTGCCGATTATAGGTTTAAATTTGAAGCCTGCCATCGTCATACAGTGACGTCTCCATATGAGTGAAAAATTCTCGAGAAAGACGCTAAGCAATAAACAATCAATCAATCGAATCGTACTGCAAGACAAGGATACCAGCCCCTGGGATGCGATTGTCGTATAAAACCGACGTCATGTGTCACAGAAAGCTCTCTCACGGTAAAGATTTCCGCTGCTAAATGTTCCTGGTGCTAACTTTTAACTTTTCAATCTTCCACTAGAACTTTTGGAGTATTAGTATATGTGAACAAGTATTGAAAGGGACATTAAATAAAAAGAAACTCACAAAAAACATAAAGTATTCAAGATATATTTCAATTCGACACATGAAAGTCGGCTAATAAAGAAGCACAATAAGCCAGGATAATTATTGTACAGCTTGAAGACAAACTTACCTGCAATGAATGAAAATATGATATTAATGAGTAATTCTGTAATCCTTTCAATATCAAATTAAAAGTTCCAAAGTGTAGATGAAACATATATCGAGATAACGAACGGTATTCAAGCTGAAATGTCCTATTAACAATTAATACAAATGAGGAATAGAACACAGACCTCCAATACATTAGAGGTCGGGTAAGCTATCATGGAGGAGTGAACATCCCCTGCCGAACGGTCACATCCAAAGTGTGCCCCATGTCATGATCGGAAAATAACGGAAAAATTCGTCATTAATTCTGTGTGCAAATAACAGCATAACAATATGTATGAACAAGGCAGTATCAAATCAGAAAACCTATCCAAATTTACAACAAGATATGTCATTTATATCTTAATGCAGTGGAAAAGTAATTGTTGCTAAAACGCTGCTCGGGTAAGATAACCATGTCTCACTTTCGATACTTTCAAATATTCATATCAACACTCTCACTAAGTATGGTTGCAATGTTAATGAAGCCCAGGAGCTTGACATTAATGTACTTGCACATAATGGTTATGAAGCTGGCTCGATCCCATTTCTCAGCATATTTCGTGAAATAAAAGAACTATCTTTAGAACACCCGAAAATGCACTGCATAAACCGGTAGACAGGGGTTACTCACTCCTCTATGGCACCAAATCCAATCTCTGATTTTTTTAGGTCCGTGTTTATTTTCTTCCTACTTTTTTTTTTCAATTTTTTGGATAGTCTTTTAGGCTTAAATACTGTTTGTTATCTGAAGTCTCCATATGTTTCATAAACAAGTAGAAATATTTCCTCTAAAAAATCTTTTTCTTAGGAAAGGTCGTTGCCATTCTATTCACACAATATAACCTGGCACACAGAATCATGGAAATAGTTGATCAATCTTTCAACAGCAATGACATCGTTTGGATCGGATGTGACGCATGGATAGGTAAAGAGCCACCTAGCGGACATAAAGAAAGTATTGAAGGAGCTATTGGTATAAGTCCTGAGACCGGTCGCTATCCTGGATTTGATAAGTACTTCAAAAAGTAAGAAAAATCCAAATTTTCATGACTTTTATGATATGCTTAAAAAGTTTACTCATCTGAAGATCAATCAAGAACGTTTTGTGGTTATTATTTAATAATTTATAGAAGCACATCTAATTTGATGTTTTATGTTAAAAGAAATTGCTAGAAAAACAGTTTTTAAAATTTAACGTAAAATATTATGATTGAATTCTTAATCTTACGTGTGTGAAAGTAAGGTTGTTGATTTGCATTAATCAGACAAAGTGCAGCGAAAAAATCAGATTAATAAAACAAGTCTGAATACAGTTTGTTTACATTGTTTATTCGATTTGATAAATTTTTGTGCTTTTAGTATTAGTTTAGGTAACAGCTCGAATCCTTGGTTTGGCGAATACTTGAGACAACGTTACAATTGTTCTTTAATTGACGGTGTGAATGGTTGTTCTAAAATCGAAATCGAAGGTAATTTGAAAGAAATAACCAAAAATAAAAGAATTTGGAAAAACAAAACTTGGTACACTGAAACTGTAATTATGAATAAATTTTAAATTAAATTGGGATTTCTTTTTGTTTTCATTCACGTTCACTGAGATGATGATTACTTTTGATGCGTACAGTTTTCAGATTTGATCATTTTCTCTATAAAATGTATTTATAATGCATATATTGTATAATGATGAACTCTGACGAAATACTCTCTGATTCAATTTGAGAAATATCATCATTCCAACACCAAAACTTATATGCCCAGCAGGGGATGCTCACTCCTCCATTGCACCTGATCCCACGTCTGATGTTTCGGAGGTCCGTGTTTGCTCTGCTCTTGTTTTGTATTGTTTTATGGACTTTGAGATTGGATACTGTTCGTTATCTCCATATCCTTCATGCTTATGTGATATTAAAATATCGCATACAAAAATACAAAAACACATTCAAAAATTTTGAATGACTTGTAATCTTGGAGAGAAATAAGATTAGCATTTTGTATTCGCTATGAATAATATAATTTGTGATAAATTTGGTATATATATAGCACTTATGAATGCATTAACCAAATATATTTTTTGTCCAGACTTTAGGGAACTTTTGACAGTCTACAATGTCCGCAATGCCGTATATGCTTTTGGCAGTGCTCTGGAGACCCTCCACTCTTTACTTTGTGGAGGAAATGTAGGCGTTTGTGAGGACATGAAAGCAAACCTTTCAGGAGATTTGCTCCACAAATATTTGTCCAACGTTTCCAGTACGAAAAATTTTACTACCTGCTATTATGTAAACTATGTACAAAAAACCCATTGATTTGGGATGACAAAAGGAATTTTAAACACCAAAAATCTAAGGTCATGTCATATTTTCAGTTGAATAAACCTTAGGGGGAAAATCATCATTATATTAAATGAATAATCTATCTGGTGTTTTATATAGATTATACTTAGAAAACAATTCATTACCAGTGTCGAATGATTTTATCAATAGTAAAACTAACCGAAGTGCATTTTAGATGTTAAATCTCTGTGTTTAAATAAAAACTTTGTTTTACAAGTTAATGTACTTCACAATCATGTCATTTGCCTTTAAATATTAGATCCCTTCAACACGAGCTTCCACTTTGTAAATGGAAGGGATGGTCCAACCCGATACAGTGTGTTACAATACCAGAGACAGCAAAATGACCTCGAATGGAGGGAGAATGGAACTTGTAGGAATTGTTCTATATTGCATACTTTTATGTATATAATGTAAAGACTACAGGTAAAATGGTATACGCTCAAATTTTCTGCATGGTAATCCATTAAACTATTACTTTCTTTTTTATTACGCTTTTTTCAGATTCTGGAAAGGAATTGATTTGGAAAACCATGAACGATGGTCACGCCAAAGTCTGTGTGTTCGTTTCCTTGTCATGAAACACGCGACGCTAAAATGGTTGTCTGACACGCCAAAGTCCGATGGTGCACAGGATTGTACAATGCATGACGTCACAACTGTCTGACGTCACATCCATTCTATGACGTCACAATCCTCTCTCATTACGTTTGTGTGGCCATGCATTCAAAATCCATTGATTTAGTATTTGTCCCGCTTCAATTTTACATGATGTTGTTTATTGTTTTCGAATAATCATTTGTTGTGTTGTGTCCTTGTTTTTATCCTTCAACTGATTGGGTTAGTGAAGGCCACTGTGTTTTGAGACACACAAGAGATTTTAGGGTTTTCCTCGCACATTTGGACTGATTTGGATTCTTGTAAGTGAACCCACTATTGATACTGTGTCTTATGGTTGTTACACATTTTTACGACTGATAAGTGTTATATCCAAAAGATTAGGGTTACAATCTTTGCCTTTGATATTTATTTGTATTTATTTTAAACAATTCGGGCCTTGGCATGGCACAGAAATATCTGCATTTTTGCGACAGTATTATATCACTGTCATAAACGTAAATTGTTTTCTGCACCGTCGGACTATGGCGTGTCAAACCATCGGTGTTTGGCGCACACCATCGGACTTTGGCGTGACCATTGGACTTTGGAGTCCCATCGCACTTTGGAGTCCTACATATATAATGTAAAACTGTGCAACTGTATAAATAATATGCATCACATTTATTTTCTGCACAACGGGAAATAATCCATTAAACTATTTTTTTGTTATTTATAATGCTTTTTTCAGATTCTGGAAAGGAATTGATTTGGAAAACTATGAATGGTTCTCAATTTTCCTCCTCCGTGTGTTCGTTGCCTTGTAAGAAAGGTCAGTTTCGTAGTAGAGGCGAAGTTTGCTGCTGGAAGTGCAAAGACTGTGACTACACAGAGATTGTAAATGCCTCTGATCCGTACAACTGTCAGACATGTGACATCCATTCTGGCTGGACATCTAATCCTTCTCAGAACGTTTGTGTGGCCATTCCTGTCGATCATCTGCATTATGACAGTCCTTTCATTCTTGTGATATTTGTATTATCTACTCTTGGAGTCATCATTTGTTGTGTTGTATCTATTGTTTTTATTCTCAAACGAACTACACCTATAGTGAAAGCAACTGGTTTTGAGACAAGTATAGTCCTTCTTGTAGGAATCCTTTTCTCTTACCTTTCTCCATTCATTCTTGTAATTGACACTACTGTAGCTTCGTGCGCCTTCTTCCGAGAGTTTCTAGGTCTTAGTTATACAATGGCTTACTCGTCAATTTTCTCGAAGTTAATGGTCTACAATCGAGCTTTTGATATAAAATCGTCTTTGAAAACCAAACCGATTCAGGGGCAAACAGTATTCAACAGAAATATCTGCACTATAAAGACTGCCCTAGTAATTTCACTCACACTCTCCGCAGTTCACTTCCTTGCTCTTGTTTTCTGGAGTATCGGTGATACTCCGTCTCCAGTAGTCAAATACTCTGTAACACACGAAGAAGCCATTGGAAATTTTTCATATAACGATCTGGACAATTTTAGTTATTTCGTAAGCCTTGGCTATTCATTTCTGTTAATGATTGCTTGTTTGGTGTTTGCAATTAAAACAAGAAAACTTCCGGATGGTATGAACGATTCACATGAAATAATGTATTGTTCTCTCACTTCTTTCATACTCTGGATTGCATTCATTCCTCTGTATGCTTTGTCCGAAAGTAAGCTTATCAAAGTCATGTCTCTTTCTATATCTTTAATAATACACGGTACAACTTGCTTAATTTGTCTTTTTATTCCTAAAATCTACATCGTCATTTTTCGCCCCGAGAAAAACAACAAGGAACGAGTTATGAGGAGCACCCCAAGCCGAAGTCGAAATTCATACAGCGGAAGTTTTCTTGGAAGTCGTGCGTTTGACAAGAAGCAGTCGACTGCCTTGACTTTGGAGATGAAAGAATCCACAAACTGTAAAGTAAAGCCTTCTTCAACTTCTGGTACGTACAATTTCCAATTATGTCTCATAAATTTGTAATGTCAGATTTTAACCAATATCTTTTTTGTGTATGCATTTTGAGTTGCAAAATCTAAAAGAAAAAAATATAACACTGTTTTAAAGCGTTTTATCGTTTTTCCATCTTATAGCTGCAGATGATACCACGGAAGGCAGAGAGGATTATTTTGCAATGAAAGGAAATTTACCCTTTGAAAAATTTAATGTATCCGAAGGACCAGGGAATAAAGAAGAATTAGATAATATAAAATCAGATAAAATGATGACAAAGCATAAAGTCAGTGATAATATCACACCAATTGACAAAACATTACACGAAGGAAAAGATGCGGAAATTTCAAACCAAGACAAATTTTCAAAAAGTATAGGATTCAAGATAAGTAGTTTAATGAAACACATCAAATTAAGCGGGTCACAAGAAGTGCCAGTCAGCACTGTGGAGATAACTGATGAAAAGAAGAACACATCAGAGGCGACTCATTGAAACATTACCGAATATTCATTTTAAAAATATTTAGAAAATATTTCTTTTCTTTTTTTCACGTCATTTCCCGATTATGACAAGAGCACTTTTGTGTGAAAAACCTTTAATTGATAAACGCCGGGATGTATATTTGAATATCTATAGGACACATGTTTCGCTTTTCTTATATGTTTCTTTAAGAATCCGACTTTTTCTTGTAATAATATATAAATCTACATGTAATGTTTTATGGACTTTTGAGTTTGGATACTGTTCGTTGTCTCCATATATTTCATAAATGGAAAAGTGTAATAACGAAAGAGATCGATCTAAACACAACTGCAAATTAATTGATTTGTGAGAACAGGGTGTAATGTATGTTCTTATTTTATTAAGAGTTACTGTTCTTGTCTTATGAACTTTCCTGTAAAAAATTATAAAAATTATGATATCTTTAACACAATGGTGTTGTGAATACACAGTACATTACGAAGGGCATAAAACACCAAGTCGTGGAAATTCAAGAGGCATGTTTTTGTAGGAGTAAGAATCCCATTGCAATCTGTTAAAACTTTCCGTAAACCATAAAAACATGATATTGATCATGTTGACAGACCACCCCATAATCAACTTTTATTAGTGTTAAGAAAGTTTTAACCATTTTATGGAAAATTCAGCATCATTTGACGCTGTAACGTTATATTTACTTAAAAAGTCAATGAAACGATGATAGAATATAAAAAATTCTACATTTAAACATGGTCCATGCAATATGACACCTGTAGTTATCCTGCCTCGTTTTGAAAATCATTGTCCTCAAAAAATTTATTCTGTTATGTTTGGGGATCAATTTACACAAGGTTTTTTCATAAATTAAAAAAGTCACTATTCATTCATAAATGTATGCATATAAATTCTTGCAGACAATTGACATTTAGATAAAAGATTTTTTTAGTTAGACATGACTTAGATATAAGAAATATATAAGAATTGAGGTGGGGAATAAGTTTAATATAATTTTCACATAATCTTATATCAACACTTTTCGTAAAATTTCACCTAGAATTATTTCCCTTTGTAGAATCTTTACACTGAAGACAAAAAACAGGTGAATTTTTTCCTTTTTTGACTTTTTGCATTGAGGTCTACAGAAGGTTATAAATCATGTGACAGAAGCAGAGCTAGACATCAATCAATTAATGAATCTGATTTCGTGCAGGTTTTCTCGGGGCTGAGAAGCTGCGACTAGGTCTAGTTTTCTGGCGATGTGCATGGAGAATATAAGAGATTATCTGTCCCAGATTATTTAAGTAAGGCCATGCTTTGGGTTTAGTAATCAATTTAGCATTGTTCATTCTACTACCCCAGAAGTCGACATCGATCGTCTTAATAATGATATATTTTTATCCACATTTTGTAATTCACTCACAAAATGCATGTCCCAACTTAATAATTGGCATAATTTAGTTTCAATACTTTTTACATGACCTCTAACGTTTCAGTTTTCAGGTGGAATTTTTGTTTCGGTATCACTAATACTATTTACTTGAAGAGCAATAGTTGTTGTTCTTATTCTTTCAGTCAAATTAATGTCACCACTGCTTAACGCTGTTGTTAATTGAAAGGAGTATTAAGCGGATCTATGGGTCACGTCGTCGATTTGTATGTGTGTTGTATATTTGTTTTTTATGTAGATGATTTTTATGTATACCGTCCCTCTCCAGAATATTTCAATATGGAGACCATAAAGGGCAATTTATAATTTTGTTTATTGTGATTTCATTCTTTTACGACAAGCAAGGGGGTTAGAGATCCCCACGGGGCTATGGCCGTAGAAAGCCAGCTGGCGCAGTGGTTAGCAGTGGTTAGAGCGTCTGATCTAGAATTGCAAGTAAGGAGTTGATCCTTATGTCGCTGGTTCGAATCCCATTTTAGGACGCGGAAGACCAGGCCTCTGGATAAGACCGCATAAAATGAGGTCCTGTGTCGTAGTAGGCGCTGACACGAAAAATATCCATTCCTGATCAATGGCTTGAGCATTGGGCATATATGACACAATTTGCAGCTCCTTAATGGTGCATGTCATTTGCATGTACTTTTCAGTAAGCGTTTTTCCAATTCATTTTTTTCAGCTTCTGTTTCATGAACATTGGTTATTGACACCCAGTCTTTCTTATGCTTAACAAAAAATGTTTATGATCAATATATACTTCCTTTAACCACTTTGCTCTTTATGAATATCTGTGAGCAGTTACAAATGCATTAATGTATTTCAATATCACTCTTTTATACGTTATGAATCGAGCTATAAAAGGAAGAAATATTTGACGAAAGCTTAAAAGAAAAATATTTTCTTAATGCATACGAGATTATTGAGATATATTTTTTTAAATCAGTAAAATTAAAATAGTTACATTGGCTACAATGTCAAGGAAAAAGAACTGGGTCAATAAGCTGACAGAAAGGAATGAATAAATATTTCAATACGGTACCCTGCATTGTATTTGCTACTGTTCTATATTTTGTAATAATACTGAGGAATTATACCAATGCATTTTAGGAGATCTTATGTTGGGAAACATAAGCAAAAGCAGATTATCAAGTTGTCAGCAAAAGTGTTCTTTTTATGTAAATTTATAATTTAATGCTTAAAAATAACTTAATTTTTGTAATTAATGCCATGATTAAAAATGTTTTAAAATGATTGGAAATTGATCAGTCTTGAACCATTATCTTTGATTTTTTTTGTATCTTGTAGTTGCAGACAATACTGAGGAAGGCGGAGAAGATTACTTCGCAACTAAGGGAAATATACCTTTTGTAAAATTCATTGAATTAGAGGGACCGGCCAGGCAATAGAGTGGGTTTGGATAATGTAACGTCAGGTGAAATACCGACAAGGCATAGAGTAAATAGTGATATTATGCAAAATGCCAATATCTTTGACGTGGAAAAACATACTGCGTTACATTCAAACGAAGGCAACTTTTTAAAAAGCATAGGGTTCAAGCCAAGTAGTTTTATTAAACGCACTATATGAAATGGGTCACAGCAGGAAGTGCCCATCACTAATGAGGATATAACAGAGGAAGGAAATAAGGAAAACACATCAGAGAAGACGATCAGAAGGCTGTCTAAATCACTACCGGATGTTCATTTGAAAAATGCTTAATTTTTCATATTTGTGTCAATACTTATATTTTCAAAGAAACTAAGTTTAAATAAATGTAAGTTATATTTAAAATCTCAGAGCATCCCCCAAGTACGACCACTTTTTTAAGCAAGGCATGTTACTCACTGATAAGTTGATGTGATAAAGATTTCAACAACCTTGTTTAAAGAAGCCGTTATTTCCCGATCATGACAAGAAGCACAGGGCGAATGTGACCGGTCGACAGGGGATGCTCACTCCTCCGTAGCACCTGATCCCAACTCTGATGTTTCGGAGGTCCGTGTTTGCTCTGCTCCTATTTTGTACTGTTTTATGGACTTTGATATTGAATACTGTTCGTTATCTCCATATCCTTCATCCATAAATTATTGTGCTATAATATTTTTCGACCGGCTTTTCTATATGAAGAAATATAAGCAGTGGTTTCTTAATCTTTCTTTTGAATAAATGAATTTTTGTTTTGAAGTAATGAAATGTTTTGCATAAATAAAAAAAGGATTTTTATGAGTGATTGATGAATTATATTTAGTCTTAAATTAATAAAACAGGGGCTATGAAATTTCTTATATGACTTTTATTGCGTGTCAGTTTGTGAATAGTTTTGTACACTAACAATAAATTAACCTTCCTTGTATATATTTGTTTGAAACATTAATGCATTTTTTTAGTTCCTCAGCTTTTAACAAATCTGCATATTGCATTAAAACACGGATATACGTTGCGCTAATTATGAGGAAATATTTGGTGCAAACAAAAAGATGTAATCAATAAAAAAAACTTTCATCTTCAAGACACTATATTCCTTATATGTCGTCTTTAGATTTTTAAATAAAATACATGAACACAGAGAAGTATAATTGATGTCTACGACCTGTTATAATACCAGGGAGAAGTAAAATTGTTAACATACAACCTACACAAATCATAGCAAAAGGATATGGCAAAGCAAATAAAGTATCTTGCGCTTTATTTGTTAGTAGTCTGGCCATTTCTTTGTAATAAATCCGGAGGAACATATCTCAATATTCCAGGAGATTTTATTCTTGGGGGACTTTTATCCGTTCATTTTCCAAACGACGATAGATGTGATAGAAAAATTGACCGCAATGGACTTCAACTCGTGGATGCCACGATATTTGCTGTCTCGGAAGTCAATTTTTACTTGAAAGAGAAGGGAATAACTCTTGGTTTGATAGCATATGATACTTGCTACAACATTAACCCGTCTTTAGAATACTCATTAGAATTTGCTCAGCAAAGTTTCTACACAAAACACGAGGAGACTGGAAACAATAATTGTACGACAGAGACATCCAGGCGGGTGATAGGAGTAATTGGTCCAGCTACTAGTAGAGAGACACGATACGTGGCTAGTCTGCTTGCTCTCTTCAAAATACCACAGGTAAACATGCACACATTCGTACTAATAAGATAAGAAACAGTGATCAATCTTGAGAAAAAAAAGCATCCGCAAAAAAATAAATCTGTGAACAGGGTAAAACACGGACTCACGGAAATACCAGAGGTGTGTTCGGGTTCCTAGAAATAAGAATCCCATGACGACTCTTTTAAATCTGCTGTAAGCTTAAACATTGATCACGTAGACGGAGCACCCTATATTTAAATTTGGTGTAAAATGAAGGTCTGACCGTTTTTAAGAAAAACGGTACAAAAATTTTACCCAGAGATATGGTAAGTTATATTTACTGACAATGTTAATAACGATCATAGAACCTACAAATTGCTGAATTTTACTTGCCTCGTTTTGAAAATAATCGTACTCAAAACATTGGGAATAACTATTTGTAATTCATAGCAGTCATCAATATAATTACCCTAATGTTGAGCCGAGGCAAATGTTTTCTTCCACTTGAATAAGGATTTTTGTATAAATTTTGTTTTAAATTTATTTTAAAAGAATATAAATAAGTTCGACTTATAAAGGAGCACAATTCTTTTCCATATAAACTCCACAGTTTGTGGGAAGAGGTGACATAATTATTATTTTCAATGCTCCATATCCTGAATCTGTTTTTTTAGTTTATGATTACATGTCGTATGACAATTTCTATTTGTATACAATATTGCTTCACTGTAAAGGATGTTTTTAGATAGCAGGGCAAAATGTTTCAAAAAGAATTACCGAAACTTCTTCTCATATTCAGCTAGATTTTCATTACTCATGAATAGGCAAGCATCAATAAGTGGTGCAGATTTAAATTTATTTATTTAAATCACGGCAATGAAGAATAGCGTCGGGTTAATATGGGAGATCCCTTTTCTTACAATTAGATAAATATGATAAACACCCATTAAAAAACATCTTATTCTAAATAAAATGTAAGCTTTTATTATCATTTGCAAACATTCATTTTCTTTTTATAAAGCAAGGCCCTTGTAGATAGATGGGGCTACAATGGACAGTCAAAATTATCAGTAAATTATAAAATTTTCTCAAGATTACCTAAATATATAAGCTATTTGATATATCATTATGCACGTAATCTGGGATGATTCAGATTCTTTTTATCAGGGTTTCTTGGGTTGCAATTGGTCATAATACGAGAAATAAACAAATTTTTCCCTTGGATATAAAAAAAATAAAATTGTTCTTTTCTAGAACAGTACAACCCTGATGAGGCATATTGATAAGCCAGCAGCCTTAATTAGTTAGGTGTGGAATTTTTTTGTTCAAATTAGGCTTGAAGGAGAAAGAAGAGGGTGCAGTGGAATTTGGTCATTATAGGACATCAATGTTTGTAATTTTAATGCATATGAACAATTAATTCTTAAATGATTCAGACCAGAAAATTCATGAACCTACTGATATAAAAGAGCACACAGCTTCGTACAATAAAGATTTATTGTCCCTCAAACCATGACCCCTGAGGTTGATAAAGGGGCAGCATATTAGGGATCAAAAGTTTTTATGAAGACGAAAGGTGTTAAACAATCCTCAACTCATCTCTTCTGATGAATGGAAGGAAAAAGATGATTATGGCGAGCATTGTGGCCCATGAGTCACTTGTTTGAAGTGTGACAAGAAATATATCTTAATTCCATTCCAGCTTATTTTTATTGGAATTTGGATTTATTTAAAGAACTGGTAAATACGTCATTAAATTCATTAAATGTAAACAACTGAAATATTTTTTAATTATTCCAGATTAGTGGCACGGCTACTTCTTCGGCCCTCAATGACCGACAAAAGTACAAGTATTTCAAGAGAACAGTACCATCCGATACGTACCAGGCCAAGGGAATTGTTAAACTTCTCAGGTATGACTAGTCACTACAAGAATTTTTTATGAGGAATGGAATATTTATTGCTTATCAAGAAGAGCTGGTTTTCTTTTTCTTATGTAATAATTAGAAGAGATATTAAATATCTACGTTATATAATTTAATCGGCATTTTAAAAACTGGTATTGATATGATACCTCTACTGTTATTACACTGTATCAAATAAATACCATAAAATTATTTATTTCCCTGAGAAGAGAATATTTCCTCATCAGTATCTTCAGCTTTTATTCTTCTCCCTCATGAATATTTCTTGATAATTTAACCAATCATAATTAACATGTCACTTTATTGTTTTCATATCTCGTCTTTACTTAAAGTGCTTACATTTCAAACATTTTGACATGCGATGTCAAAATCATACTTGAATTTTAGCAAAATGAATACAACAATCATTCTTCGAAATGTCAGTGATTAATAATTCTCAAAAAAATAATCTTAAAATTGTCATCGGTAACGACGGATTAGATATATCTTTTTAAAAACGTGTATTTGCGATGATTTAAATGCCTCTATCATTATTGTTTTTTAAAAGAAATGTCTGAATATTAGGTTTAATAAATTGCCTATGATTGTTTCGGTATAATAAAACAGTTATGGAATGGGTACTCGGGAAATATCAAATTTATGGTTACCCTCAAAAGGAACTTTTTTCCCTCGGCGGCGAAATAGTTATTCGAGTTTTTTCAATTTTCAATTATAACTGTATAGTATTGTACGAGGGCTGTTTGGAAATTATTGAGACATTTACTCTTACTCCATAAAGGAAAGAGATTTTATCAAGAACAAATAACAGAAATATCCAAAACTTCTAATCAATATGTAAATTAGATAAATCACTGATAAATTATAAACTTGCATATGTGTATTGACCGACGTAATATATATTCATTTTTTTCATATTTCGTAATATAGTGAAAACTTTCTAATCCGACACTTGTCCAATCCGTCAAACTGTGAATTCCGACGTTTAATTTTTTTTCTCATTTTACAATTGTCCGTTTTTTTTTACACTGTGCAATCCGACACCCTGTCTATTCAGACACAAAATTTGTCTCCAAATCCATGATCGAATTAATAGGTTTCACTGAATATATATTAATATGCCTTCTGCTTATAAAATTTACAGTAAAACTGTCTAATTCGACACCTGTCCAAATCTTCACACTGTTAATGCCAACGTTAAATTTATTTCCCATTTTCCATTTTCCATGTTTTTATCTCTGTGCAATCCGACACACTGTCTATTCCGACGCAAAATTCGTCTCCCTGAGCGAGCAGTTCGGTTTAGATAGGTTTAAATGTATTTGCTTTTCTTTAGAGCAAATGGATGGGAGTATGTGAGTGTTCTATACGAAGATTCCAGCTATGGTAGATATGGATTCAATGATATCAAAAGATTTGCACAAATAGATAAAATATGTATTGGATATGAGAAACAAACCTCGGATGGAATGACAGATTTAGAGATCAATGAAGTTATAACACATCTAAGATCAAGAAGGAATGCGAAAGGTACACAATTTGTATTCAATACTTTGGATGATTTATAGTAACATCTAAACTGCGAATAATTCAGTGTATACTATTAAGTGTTATTAAGTTTTTATTCTGGATTTTCAATTCAATTCACTTTATTGACAATTACCATGTCGGCATACAGTCATGAACATGAATAACATAACATAAATTAACACAATTAATACAAGCATACACAAAGTGAGAAATATGAGGTGAACAAAATTGTGTATTTCTCAATATTAATATTCATTTTTGACTTTCTTTTCTGACGACAAAGCACTTTTTCAAGCAACAACATATCCTTCTAGCAGTTGAAATATTTGTAGGATTGACAATTTTTCTAATGGGGTTATCACTAGTATAGGTTTTTACATTAAATATATCATTATAAGTGCATCTATATTGATCATACTTTGGACAATAAAGAACAAAATGTTTTTCGTCTTCAACAAACAATTTACATGAATAACATAAACGTTTTTCTCTAGGAATAGGGGGTTTACAATATCGACCCGTTTCAATATACAGTGGGTGGGCACTGATCCTTAATTTTGTTAATAAAGATCTACAACTTTTTTTCAGGGGTAGTTTTGAATAACTTCGCAGTTTGTATTCATCTTGATTCACAATTTTGCTATAAAATGCTAACTTTCCAGAGTCTGATTTGCTAACATTTTTTAGTTGTTCATATATCTTAGATTTTAGATGGTAGGCCGAGCATTTTCAAAGATGAACATTAAAACTGTTAAATTTTAGGGAAAATTGTAGTAGTTCTGTTTATGCTGCATCAAAATGCATACAGAATAATCCGCCAAACTCATGACATGCGCATTGAAGGCTTTATCTGGATCGGAAGTGATGGATTAACAGGGCTTGATCCTCCAGTTGACCTAGAAAATATAATGGAAGGAGCTATAGGATTATCCCTAGGGACTTCGGAATACCCAGGTTATTTCCAATACGTCAATAAGTAAGGAGATATGTGACATTTTCTTTCGTAATAACACATCTTAGAAAAAAAATGGTTTAAAAAAATGTACAATTTATATTACATATAATTACAATATAATTTCAATCATTGTATTTGCAGCCAGAGTACAGAAACAAATCCAAATCCATGGTATTCAGAATTCTTACTTCAATTTTACCCAAACTGCACAGAGGGAAACTGTGGGAAAATTAATAACACTGGTAAATAACATGATCCCACCTCTGATGTTTCGTGGGTCCATGTTTGCTCTGCTCTTATTTCGTATTGTTTTTTGGACTTTGAGACTGAATACTGTTCGTCATATCCATATCCTTCTATATGAACAATTATAAACTATCAAAGATATGAATTTATCATCATCATCATCATCATCATTTTTTTTAATTACCATTATTATTTGGATTAAAGGTAGCTATTTATAATTAAGATTACTTTAACCCGCTTTAGCATTAAACTAATTATGAAAAATACAACAATCAGTTAACATTTGAAAAAAAAATTACATTATGACTATGTCAAAAAATATTGTTAAAGATAAATAGCCATTTAAAAAGATGAATCGTTAGATACTTCTAAAACCGATATTTTTGTTTCACGTCTTAAATCTGCCGTGAAGTTATTCCAAAGTGCAGATGAGCTTACATCGAAATGTTGATTCCAATTTCACTTGGTTTATTTACTTTCTACACAATAATCGAATCATAATTTCCCAAGAAGTTCACAGGATTCAAATTTAATCAAGATTTCAAACGCACAAGGGTCCTTCGGATAAGACCTTAAAAACCAAGGCCCCGTATCAGCGGCAGACGTTGGCACGATAAAGATCCCTCACTGCTCAATGGCCCTAAGTGCCGAGTAAAGGTCAAAATTTGAAGCCCTACACCGGCATAAGGTGACGTATCCATATGAAAAATTCTCGAGAGGGACGTTAAACAATACACAATCAATCAATCAACCAAACGCACAAAATTAGGCAACCGATTAACAAATTCAGAATTAAAACATTTTTATGCATAGTGATTATGAATGTTACCAAATCATTATATATATGTGATTATGCTCTCTTTGATGAAATATATTGAGACACCGTACTGTAATCAAGCTCAAAAGTCCATAGAAAAATATAAATCAGAAGAAGAGCAAACACAGACCTCTAAAACATCAGAGGTGGGATCAGGTGCAATGGAGTGATTATCTCCTTGCTATGATAGGAAATAAAAGACAATTTTGTTGGTAAATAATGCCTTAGACCCCTGAATCTATTTTCAAAACTTTAAGGACATAAGCATAGTAGTTTGAATTTTTTAGTATTAGTGTCCATCTGTGTGCAATATTTTTAATTTGATATATGAAAAATAAACAATTTTTGATGAAAAAAATCAAATATATAATTTTTGTACATTTTTATTTGAATAATGCAAAAAATTTCAAAATTCTATTTGCAATTGGTCTCTTTTTTTGTCTATGAACATGAAATTATATTATAAGTTTAAATTTGTAATATCTTGGAATTCTATCAGTAGGTAAGGTACGTTGCGTATGTCCTTAAGTGATGAATTAGTATTATGCCCTTCTTACATTAATTTGAAAATAATGACTCAAATATTATTTGTAAAGCTTACTATTTGCAATTGTCTCTTAAGAATATTTTTGAATCATAACCGTACTAAACAAAATTAAAAACAGAATCTTCGTAATCATAAAAAATGATAACACTACTGTATTTATTCTTTCATATAACTTACTACTTATATTTCTCAGGTGTCCCGTATATCATCAGCGTCCGGGATGCTGTTTACACATTTGGCAATGCCATTCTAAACATTCATTCAGATATGTGTCAAAATGAAACTGGTGTATGTGAAGAAGTCAAAGAAAAATTAACAGGAGATATATTGTTAGAATACCTCGAGAAAAGCAAAAGTGAGAACACGAATTTCAGCTAATAGTTTGAACTTAAACAATGTTGATAAATTATTTCAATATATAAGGGAGATTTTTATAACGAAAAAATAATGTGTTTCATTTTCAATGACAGATCCTTTTAATACTTCATTCCATTTCGTTGATGACGTGGAGGGACCGGCTAAATACAGTATCCTACAATACTCAAGGAAAGGAAACAGCTTTCAATGGAATGAAATAGGAAAATGTACTAGATTATTGATCTTATATCATAATTGTTTCAGTTAGAATTTATCTGTCTGTCAAAATTATGTTAAGAAAACATTTTCCTGATTCAGGATCCTACAATACCGTAAAAATGACTTATTTTCTCTTTAAAACTAGTTGTGGGAGAAGAATTGATACTGGACGCTCTTCAGTCGCAAATGACGTCGGCGTGTTCTGTGGAATGTCGCCTAGGCTACATTAAAAAGATAAAAGATATCTGCTGTTGGGACTGTACACCTTGTCCTGCAGGATCCATCACTAATTCCTCTGACCCGTACAGCTGTACAGAATGCTTACACGGATATACATCGAATTCAGACAGGAATCAATGCATTCAGATTCCAATTTCTTATTTTTCCTATGGCAATCTCTTTTCTGTTGTTGTTCTCATATTGTGTGTTTTGGGCTCTGGTTTATGCATAATTGTTTTCGTTGTATTCGTGAAGAAAAGACATACTCCTCTTTTAAAAGCCACTGGGTTTGAAACCAGCATGGTATTGCTTTCCAGTGTCCTTCTGTCATACATATCACCATTTATTTTACTACATTATCCTTCACCTCTTTCCTGCGCACTATCTAGATTATTGATCGGCATGAGTTATACAATGGCTTACTCTTCCGTTCTATCTAAGCTTATTGTTTATAAGAGAGCGTTTGATGTGAAATCTGGAATGAAGCAAAAGGCAGCAAAAGGACAACACTTACCAAGACCTTACATGTGTACGATGATGACTGCTTTGTTTCTTTCCCTTGGTCTATCAGCTATGCAGCTTCTTGCGGTAATATTCTGGCAAATAAGTGATACTCCAGAACATACGATAACGTACGATCTTACATCATATCCTCCGTCAGGTCACCGAATGTGTAAAGATTCTAACAATTTCAATTATTTTGTTCTTCTTTTCTGGCCTTTTATGCTCATGATTGCATGCCTTGTCCTCGCAATCAAAACAAGAAAACTCCCTAACGGTATGAACGACTCACGTGAAATCATGTACTGCTCATTCACTTCCTTTATCATCTGGTTGGCGTTTGTACCTCTGTATGCTTTCTCAACAACTATTGCTGCACGAGTTATCTCTCTTTGTGTTTCATTGTTCATTCATGCAACCGTTTTTCTCAGTTGTCTTTTTCTGACGAAGATTTACATTGTGGTCTTTAGACCGGAGAAAAACAACAAAGAACGCGTAATGAGAAGCACAACTGCCAAGAAAAATCATAACACATCTAGCGGTACTTCAGCCATCACTCCTAGCAAAACTCAGACCACATCTAGCGGTGCCCATCAAAGCAATGATTTACAAACTACAAGCAAAGAGCAAGTCTTACACATTTCGTACAATTCCATCATAGAAAATTCCAAAAGTGAGTAGTGCTTGTTTTAAATTTTAGTATGTTGTATTCTTTTACTTTTTGTTTAATTTTTGAATCTACATATGTAATGTTTTTAACAATATTAATTTTGTAACTCGGTTTGATCAAGACTTTTTATTTTTTTTAAATTACATAACATTAGAGTTATATTTACCTATTTGCCTTCATATTGTTTACAGTGGAGTCAGAAGTTATCCTCCAGAAGATAAAATATGGAAATCCACCTTAAGCAGAAAAGGATTTAATGCAGGAGTAGTTTTACTGAGATTAATTAAGTAAACAAGAGGCCTTTCTACAACTTCTCTGCATAATTTACTATATACAAGTATATAAAGCAAATAAAACAACTCCAGATAAACTAACATTGAATATGTAAATTTGTTGATAAAATAGATATAATTGATATAAAGGGTCCTATTACTCAAATTGTAAAGAATTAATTATCATAACCAGATTAACAATTATTAGAAAATACATGTAATAAACTTTTCAAACTAAATTGAGAACCAATGCAATATATGTAAATGTTTTTGAATACCTATTATATTTTGAAACCCCAAAATGAAATGTTCTACATGTATATACTTTCAAAATGTTCTAAAGTGCTTGATTGTGACTCGATATTCACGTATATCACAAGTGGAGGAGGGAGAGAGTGTGTGTGTGTGTGTGTGTGTGTGTGTGTGTGTGTGTATATATAAATCTGAAAGTCTTTACTATACCATTGAAAACTAAAAATCCCTTAGGCTGTATCCTTTAATTGGTTACCTCTTTTTAGATTATTTCATTTTTATTGAAAATTTGATTTCCTCAATAAAAAATGAATTTTTCTACTTTTAGGACTTTGTCTTGTATGTGAAAAATTTATGTTTGGAATTTTAATCAATGTAAGGTCAACATTGTGACAAAATGATCAGAGGTTGCACAATGAGACAGAACAAGAGGTTAATGAAAAGGCTTACAATAAATAACAGTCAATCAACGTTCACTCAAACCCAATGGGACTGAAGGAAAAAAAATTCCAATAAACTGCAGATTTCAGACACTTAATAATAAAATGTTTGTGAACTCCAAATTACTTCAACATACCAAAGATTTTTAATATAACAGTGTTCGAGATACCAAAGTTCAACCATATTAAAAAAAATTTAAATGAAATGAAGAGAAAATAAAGAATTTTTTTATGAAAAACAGAAATTTAAGGAGTATGCAACTACAATGTATTAAGCATTTTTTATCCCCGTATTAATTAGGTGATTTGGATGAAACTTAGTCAAATGGATATATAACGATCAGAAACATTTCTCAAGCTCAAAATTTCAATGAAGCAATACAACTCGGGCGCAGAGAAAACCCAAGTCCGTAAAATTACCGTATAAGTAGAAATTCTAGCGAGACGCAATTTTAGCGATTTGTCTTTAAAAACTGTATTTTATTTTTAGCGACATGTTATTTTACCGATTTTAAAATGCATTTTAAAGAAGCTATTACAAATAAAACGCAATTAATTTTTAGCGATATTCAATTTTAGCGATGTCAACATCCTCGCCAATAATGCCAAAATTTAATCCTCGCTAAAAATTCTACTTATACGGTATCAGAAGATAGATCAGGTGACATGGAGAATAAAGCATTCCATATCGTTTTCATTAAATTGATTAGTTTTGCATTTCTATGATTTATAAATGACCTTATCAGCAAATGCAATCTAACATTAAGTCAACTGTTGATGAACTTCTTTTACATGTATACTAATTGTTAGGCCATTATTTACACACTGGATCGTCTTCAAATTTCCTTGTTTTTTTTTCCACGATCATGACTTGGAGCACATGGCGAGTGTGACCGGTCAGCAGGAGATGAATATTCTCCATGGTACCTGATCCCATCTGTGTTTTGGAGGTCCATGTTTGCTCTGCTCTTATTTAAAATATAAAAGGTAAAGATAACGAATACTGGCCGATCTAAAAAAAATCTATAAATAGAAAGGAAATAAAGCAGCCAAAAATATCACCTTTAACCACTGGTGCATCATTTCCATGGTTACACTGCAAAATAGCAATCAATTCCAATTTTTCATATGTTGTCGGTGTTGCAAGGTCCTAAGGGTGGTTATTTGCCAGCCTTAAATTTTTATGTTTTTACCTCAAGACAGTAGCATTAACCCAATCTTAGTAAAAGAATTTGCTTGGTTACACTGTGTTACCATGGCTACCATGAAAGTTATTTTTAGGATATGATTACTAATACTTTTAAAATTAAAATTACTTAAGGTCAAATATTTTTATTATTTTTCTTAGGTTGTTGATTGAATTTATCATGTAATACCTACAGTGTATCACTATTGAATATTTAGCATTTTAGCATTTTTCAGCCCTTGAAATGTATTTCAAGTATATCCAAGAGTTACAAATTATTTAAAGATATATCTTCAACAGTATCTTTCTAGCTTAAGTGACAAAAAAGTGTCATGTTTTGTGGTAATGGTTTATTTGTTTCCCTAGTCTATAGTAGATTTAAAGTAGCTGAAATTTCATTTTTTCTAAAACTTTTCAAAGGTTAGGGTTAGGGTTAGGGTTAGGGTTAGTGGTTGTTACCATGGCAACCAAGACACACAGAAGCCATTTTTATGTGTATTTCTGGTGTTAGATAATAATAATTGGTAAAGTTTCATCAAAACTGGTGGCTATGCGTGGTTAAGTTTAAGTGGTTACAGGGAAGTTATTAATAAGTAGACAAAAGAAATGAGATTTTTTTCGGCAGGATAAACAGTAAGTGAACGCTTTTGTTTTATTCATTTATTCAACGGCAGATGTTTAGCTTAGCAGAAATAATAGACAGTGGTCAGGTGGTAAAGGATTCTACTTTTATTTGGAACATTTATTTACTCTGTGCGTCTGACATAGGTGATGATATCATCAATATGGAAAGTGAAAACGCGGGTTTTTATCTAATATCTTTAGTTAGAGATATAATGAAAATCTTGGGTTTTAAAAGTGCGACCATCGGTAAATTTCAAACAAACATTGGTAAATGAAGAGATTCACAGATTCTTTATCAGAAATAAATTTTAGATTTCCATAATTACAATGCTGTATAAACACACTTAGCAGAAAACCCAAAGAAAAGTGATACTGTTGAGGAAGTTTAAAACTTTATTTTTTCATCGACTGCTATTTATAGCACCTCCATTTCCTTACACTTTCTTTTTCTGAATTTGATTTTTCCCCATACTTTTGAAAAAATTAAACCTTGATGTCGCTACACATGTTGATTTTTAAATATTGTTCAATGTTTTAAAACTGTCGTCCGATAATATATTATTGGACTGCTAAATAATATCATCGGACAGCTTCTGGTACAACTTTATACTGCAAGAAAAAAGGCAGGACATCACAGCAATGTTTTATTTCTAGATAAATAAGAGAAGCAAACGTAAGAAAAGTTAATTTCATCACCTTTATTATAAAAAAAATTGTTTCCAATTACCAGTTACGTCTTTTTCTAATAAAATATCCCAATATAAATCAGACGTGCCATACTCTGTGTTATCTTTTTTCTCGAGCTCAAAAGAATATATCGAAATAACATTAATGTAGAAATGTAGTTTATAGAGCGGACGGCATAAATCTTGAATTGAAAACTACAGCGAGTGACTTCTTCTTTTTTATATAGAAGCTATAGAATGAGTTCTGCTTCGTATGAATGAACAAGAGGCCCAAGGGCCTTATAGGTCATCTGAGTATCATGTAACAATTTTTCAACAATTAAATTTGGTTCGTGTTTTAAACCAGAGGCCATGAAATTCTGAAAATTTGGAAAGAGGCACCATTGATTATCATAATTATAAAACTAAGCATGCTTACTCTATTTACTTAATACCAAGAGGTAGATCAGAATAACAAAGAGAATGTACTTCCACTTTATAACTAGTTGTGCACCCAGAAGGAACCACTGACCCTGGGGCCACATATTTCAAAAATTGTGGAAATTTTATCATAAATTTTATTTCATCATAAATGGTTGATTAATACCCAAGAGCAGTTTTCAACGCATTAATTTATTTTCAAACTATGTACCCCTCCCCCCCCCCCTCGATACCCCTGACCTAGGGGGCAGGAAATTAACCATTTTGCTAGATGCACCTTAATTCATCATAAATATATAAACTTGGATCATAAGCAAAGAAAACGATTTTCAAAGAATAAATGTATTTTCAACATATAATCAAAAAAGCCCCACCCCCTTACACCAAATGGCAAAACCCTGAAACAAAGGTCATGAAATTCACAAATTTGAATGAGGCATTATAACTATATACTAAGTTAGTTTACTTAATACCCAGAAGCAGAGAAGACAATTTTGAATTGTCACTATATAATCAATTGAATTTTCACTATATAATAAATAGAGCCCCGCCCTAACAACAGAACCCCTGACCCTGGGGCTATAAAATTCACAATTTTGAAAAAGGCACTCTTGCTCATCATAACTATGTACTTAGTTAGTTTATTTAATCCCCAGGAGCAGAGAAGAAGATTTTCAAATGTTAGCACACGACGGACGACAGACGTCGCACAACGACGGACGAAAACAGATAGCAATAGGTCAACTAAGTAAGTGGCCTAAAAATAAGTCTGCTAGAACCCACGGATATCTCGAAAGATTATAAGAGGATTTGATCTCCACATGTGTATTACTGATATACTTTAAGAATTAGTTTTGTTCTTATTTGCAATCCTCTTCCTCTTTCAAATTTACTTGTATCAAAACGGCTACTTTTTATATTTATGACATTAGTAATTCCATAAAAAAGGTCTGTCTCGTCGAAAAAAAATAGATTAGATAAATCAGCATTGATAAGTTTTGGCAATCTAAGTGTTCAAAAGATTCAGATTTATGTTCTTCCAGACAAAGAAAACCGGAGTATAGAATTCTCCTCCAGCTACAAATCCTGGATGAATTCCTGAGTATCACCAATAGTAGTTATGATATATTTCTACTTCACGATGAATTCTAGTTATAGAAGGAAACTTATTTGACTAAAAACTGTTATTTTTATGAGACGTGTGTTTGATGTTATACACAGAAATTCAGACAAAATTAATACGGTTTTTTGTGTTTTTCTTCCCTGTCAGTTGAATTATATTGCTCTCTATGTCTTTACTTTTTAACTCTGCTGACTATTACGTATTTCCTTGTGTATTTGTTGCCTGAAATTCCTTTTTTCGAATCAACAATTACAAGAGAATAGATGTAATTCATTAAAACCGTCAATACAACGATGCAACTGACTGATTACAAGGAAACATTTACAGTGCACAAAGAGATGCAATCTAAATGAAAGCTTTTTATTTCAGTTATTATTTTTTCCTTATGTTTTTTGTATTTTTTAAATAAAGTACAAAAGTTAAAGGAGTTAAAGTAAAGTTATCATTTAATGTAATACCAAGGAAAAGTAACTATTTCAATATACAACATGCAAAAAATGAAATAAATGGATCTGGCAAGGCGAGTAGGATATCTTGCTTTTTATACATTAGCAATTAGATCGATTTGTTGTGATAAAACTGGACAAACATCTTCATATTCCCGGAGACTTTACTCTGGGTGGACTTTACGCTGTTCATTTCACAAACAACGATAGATGCGATATCAAAATTGACCCCAATAACGGAATACATCTTTTAGATGCCACGGTACTCGCTTTATCGGAAGTCAATGTTTACTTAAAGCAAAAAGGAATAACTCTTGGTTTGTTAGCATATGATACTTGCTACAACATTAACCCGTCATTAGAATTCTCGTTAGAATTTGCTCAGCAAAGTTTTTACACGAAACACGAGGAGATTGGATACAATAATTGTACGACAGAGACATCCAGACGGGTGATAGGAGTCATTGGCCCAGTGACCAGTAGGGAGACACAATACGTGGCTAGCTTGCTAAGTCTCTTTAAAATGCCACAGGTAAACATGCAGTTCTGTTAAATCCATTTTATTGTGGGTTTATTAGTGATGCAATTGGGAGGATGCTTCCCAAGTTTTTTGAATAACAGAGCAAAACTTCCCAAAATATTAAACTCTTTTATATCAATACCTTTCTGCCTTAATGTACATACTTTAGAGCCCAATGGCACAATGCTTTGCGGAATCTTTAGAGATAATTTCGATTCTTTGCAATAAATGAATTATTTTTTATTTTAAAAGTATTTGCAAATGTTTTCAAACTACGATGTATTTTAATAAAATTTCTTTGTTTTGGAGTTGATATCATAACAATAGAAAATTTTATTAATTGCTTTGAGCTATGGGTTTATTTTTTTTTTGTTCACACTGTTATTCCATGTAAAAAGACCTTTCTTTGGGTATGAAAATATTTGACCTCTTGACTTGCAAAAAAAGATAATTAATTTATAAACCTGACCATATTTTTTGTACAGTAAGAGCTAAGTCTTTTATTCTTCAAATGTGTCTTTAGTGTGACAAAACCTTTCCTGGGGTATAAATATTTTTTCCTTAGTCTTAGAGTTTGACCCACATTTGAAAAACATTTACTTTGGCTTTAACTTTTGAACAATTAGTTTAAGGGCTCTCATATATTAATTGTGTATTCCTTATTAAATTACTTCCTTTTGAAGCCAACAATTATGTCCTTTTGACCTTGGAGTTTGACATATTTCAATATAATTTATCATAATTTTGATTTTAATTTACATTGGTTATAACCCTCGAGCAGGTGTTGTTAAGGTTTTCATATATCACTTGTATATTTCTTGTGGCATACCCTTTCCTTAACTATCACTGACTTAGACCCTTTAACCTTTGAGTTTTACTCACTTTTTAAAGATATTAAATTTGGCCAAAACATTTGAACACATAAAACAAGGGCTTTCATATTTCACATGTATATTCCGTGTGACAAGACCTTCCTTTGGATACCAATAATTTTACCTTTGGACCGTGACGTTCGGATTTAACTTGTTTTTTTAACAGTAAACCTCGAGAAAGACTGCCATAAAGGGACCATTAGTGTTTCACAAACACACCTTGTTTCTTAATAAATACACATGCAGAGCAATATTTATGCTATTTATTTTGATAAACATGACCGATGAATGCCGATAACACTGTTGAATATTTTCAAAAAAGTGTTTGAAAGTTTTTTTTGTTATAAATAATAACTGAAATCTTTTTACTATTTCAGATTAGTGCTACGGCTACTTCATCAGTCCTTAATGACCGACAAAAATACAAGTACTTCAAACGAACAGTACCGTCGGACACGTACCAGGCCAAGGGAATTGTCAAGCTTCTAAGGTACGACAATTAGAATTGAATAACAAATGCAAAGCCCTTTGCAATGCAACAAGTAGATATTTTAAAGAAATGTTTTCGTCGAAAGTAGTATATTTAGAGTTTTATCCTGATATAATAAAAAGTAAGGCAAATTGATAAAAAAAAATACGCAAAAAATATCTTTTGACAACTTTTAGTTTCAATTCGAACTTTTCTGGACTTCAAAGGTAGCCAGTTCTGGTTGATATCGGCTGTCACAAAGGGCAGGGAAACCATATTAATCTCTTTAACAATTCATGTGATACTATTTCTCAATATGGTGATGTTACAGAAATTTCAACAGCCTCGTATAAAGTTTGCATTTCAACAATTCTATGGTCGATATAAGAAATTACTTTGCAAATATAATCATATATAATAATGGTATTTTTGCTAACTTGTTTCATACAAATTTTTAGGCCTTGTTTTTATACTGAATTGAATACGGATAATTCCATCTACCTGATCAACACAAAGATATCACAGTGGGTGAGACCGGTCAACTGGGGATGAAATATTTGGAGATAACTAAAATTATTTAAGCTCAGAAGTCCATTAAACAATACAAAATAGGAACAGAGCAAACACGGACCTCTAAAACAGAGGTGGAATCAGGAATTATGGCAGAGTGAGCATCCCCTGCCGACCGGTCACACCCGCCGTGTGCTCCTTGTCATGATCGGGAAATATCGTAAAAATCCGTCGACATTTCTGTGTGTAAATAAGGCCTTAACAATTAGGATGCTTACTTTGCTTACCCCCCGTTCACACAGAGCTGCGACTCTACGGTGATCATCCCGATCAAGCCACGATCTGAAAATTTTTTGGATTGTGGCAGATCGCAGCCGATCAGCGTCAAAATAGAACAATTTGGCAAATTATGGTCTTCGTTACGACCGTACTACGATGTCCCTACGTCAAACGCGCTGCTAACAAGCTTCTACTACGATGTTACACAGACTGTTGCCGACAAGCAGCCGTGTTTAGTGCGTTTACGCTACGCTGCCACTACGACATTGAAGACCATACTACGACGCTACACAGACCTAGATGACTGTACCGCGATGTCGCTACGGTGGTGCCGATCATATTACGATTGCATTGCGCTTCTAGTACGATTTTGGTGATGATGTAAATATATTTGAAACTGCAGATTTTTGTAGTACAATTTTAGCGATGATACATATTTTGCGACCGCAGTTTTTTTCCGGCCTTTACCACATGGTTTAGGGCATTTTCAATTATTATAACTGTAACAAGATGTGAAATTGCTCAATTGTAAATGATCATCAAGTATAGTGTCACCCTTTACATGTAGTTAACAGATGATGATTGGTCAAATATCAGCGGTATAAGAACAAACTCTTGTCTGATAGGTCGTGATATGATCGGCGTAAGGTCATTGTAGGTCTTCGTAGGATCTTCAGGCACGTAAATAGATCGTAGTGAGAACGTAGTACGAACGTAGAGGGAGCGTTGTATGAGCGTGCTTGGTAAGTTCCTACGCTCTCACGGCGCTTTTACTACGATCATGAAGATCTCTCGACGATGCTTCCGCGCTGCTTGTACGATTACTGCGATTCTACTACGCCCTTTTTACGACTTCACCCCGATTTTTGTTGGCCACGATTCCGCTACGCTTGTTTTGAACATGTTCAAAATAAGCGTGGTGAGAGCGTAGAGCTCTCCGATCATGAAGACTCTACTGCGATCATACTACGCTTCTGACGACCCCACGACTTTCCTACTGCGATTTGTCACGATCGGCCACGCTTTTGACCACACTTTGGACGTAGTAGAAGCGGCGTCTATGTGTAAACGGGGGGTTAGGCACCTGATAACCTAAGATATTTCAACCTAAATATCAAATCTGATTTCAACATTTAATGTTGCAAAGTTTGTCAAAAGTAGAAACTCCTTTTATAAAAGCCTACTGTTTTGCTTCTTTTCTTTTGGTTGCAATAATGTACAATGTAAAAGGATACACAGTTCAGTTCTCTACATATTTTTTTTTTAAATTTGCTGGGCTTTTTATAGACATTTATAGACATCTTATTCTACCAAAGTTTGGATTGGCTTTACCAATTCAAAAAAAAAAAAAATCGGAAAGAGTGTGCTTGGTATGTTGTCTTTACCCTTGGTATATATAACAAACTTTCAAAATCTTTAGTAGCTACTAATCTTACAAAAAAAAAAAAGAAAAGAAAAGGAAAGAGAGAGAAAAAGAAATTCAAATAAAATATGAAACAGTAATCGAGCTCAAATGTCCAGTAGAAATGTATAATTTGGGAATATAGTTAACATAGACTTCTAAAACCAGCATGAAGGAGAAATATAGAATATCACACTGCTGTTTTGATCTCGGCCCTGGTATCATCCCGAGCGGTTGGTATCGGCCCAAGCCTGTCTCACCTAGTCCAAAACGTCTGTATCAGGGCTGATACACTACTAGGTATATGATATAGACGACTTAACACACCCGCGTCGTCTCATGATAATATTCAGAAAAATACGCACAAAATTTACCATCAAAACAAAAGCTTATGACTGTGCTTGATGTTTTAGTGTTCCTCATTAAATCTTTCATACTAACAGAGAGATTATTACATTTACTCTTTATGATAGAAAATTTAATTAAATTAAAAATGCCATCATTTTAAATGTTAGTTAACTTATGTTTTATCATCTTATATTTAGATGGCTTCTTAATCATTCAGCTTCCTCTCAGATTACAAGCATATTAGTTTACTTCGTAAAAGAAACAAAATAAACACGAGAACATACTTAAAGTTAAATATCCTTTTCTATTTTCAAATAATTATTAGTCTCCCGCGTGGCACAGTGGTTAGAGCGTTTGCTCTAGAGTCACAGAGTAAGGAGTTGATCTTTACGTCCCTGGTTCGAACCCCACTATGGGACGTAGAGACCGGTCCTTCGGATGAAATCGTATACACAGAGATCCCGTGTCGCAGTAGACGCTGACACGAAAAAGATCCCTTACTGCTCTATGGCCGTAAGTGTAGAGTATAGGTAAGATATTGTAGCCTTCAACCGGCAAGTGGTGATGTCTCCATATGAGTGACAAATTCTCGAGAGAGACGTTAAACAACAAACAATCAGACAATCAATCAAATAATTATTAGGACTAAAATACTAAGCACACGATATTTCCCGGGAGCCATAATGAACGATTTTTTAAATGTTTCATCTCTGTTTCCATATCCTTGATTATAGTTCTTTTTACCTAATCTACATTTTTTGTGTATGAAATTTATTTTTGGTCTTTCCCCAGAGCTTATGGGTGGGAGTATGTTAGTATCCTGTATGAAGATTCCAGCTATGGCAGATATGGTTACATAGACGTCAAAACCTTTGCACGACTGGATAATGTATGCATTGGTTATGAAAAGCAAACATCAGAAGAAATGACAGATTTAGAGATAAAAGAGCTTGTACGAGACCTAAAAATAAGAAGAAATTCCAAAGGTACAATATTTCTTTAATGAATCAAGAAAATTAATCGATAGAAAAAATAATTTAAACGTCCTTTCTTCTATATTCTTAATTGTGGACCCACCTATGTGAAGATCAATTTTTTATTTCATGAATTAAAAGTGTGATTTGCATTTCAGGAAAAATTGTAGTAGTACTCTTTATGTTGTATCAGCATGCATACAGAATTATCCGTCAAATTCATGACATGCGCAGTAAAGGCTTCATTTGGATCGGAAGTGACGGATTAACCGGGCGCCATCCCCCAGATGGACTAGAAAATATCATGGAGGGAGCAATTGGATTAACTCTTGAAACTTCTGAATATCCAGGATATCTCCAATACGTCAATACGTAAGGAAAAAAATGATGAATTTTAATTGCTACATTTAATCATTTGCTTCTCAAATATGTGTAAAACATAATTAACCTTGGAATCTTCCATACCAATATCATACTTAATATATTTTATTATTACAGCCAAAGGATAAGCACAAATCCGAATCCGTGGTATTCAGAATTCCTACAACAATATTTCCCAAACTGCACAATGGAAAGCTGTGCCTGGATAAATAATACTGGTAAGTTATTTTGATTATGTCAACCAAAAGCAATGTTAAAGCATCATGAAATTAAATATATGCATTCCCTTTCTAGACATAAGCTATTAAGTAATGCGTTTAAAAGTTCCTAAGCAGTATACAACATTCCATTTTAATAACGATCTTAATCTTACAAACTTAAGTTAGTTAATCGATTAACAGTTTTAAAATTAAACTCATTTTATATGTAATTATAATGCGTGTAGTATTTAAATGTTTTTTTAAAAAAAAATCTTTTTAAACAAATAAAATATCGATAATTGGGTTACATTATTTTTTTTAACATTTCTTGCATGTTCATTCGAGTCATTGTCATAATCTCTTTACGATTCGAATTAAGATCCAGTCTGTAAAAACATTTTAAAATATATTGGCACATGAAACTAATTAGTGTAAGACAAAAATAAAAAACAAATTGATAACATAACATTTAAAAGCATTGCTCTTTTTCAATGGTTTCCTTACTACTTATATTTCTTAGGTATCCCGTATATCATCAATGTCCGAGATGCTGTTTATGCGTTTGGTGAAGCCATTCTAAACATTCATTCAGACATGTGCCAAAATCATACTGGTGTATGTAAAGAAGTCATAGATAAATTAACAGGAGATCTATTGTTAGAATACCTCGAGAAGATCAAAAGTAAGGACATGAGTTCAAGATAAGAATTTCAAGTAAAAGTCTAAATAAATCAATGTAACAAATGAGAAAAGCATATTTTAAGGGAATTAAAAGATAAAGATAATGAAAAGTGATCAATCTCTAAAAAAATTCAATTAATACAAATCCGTGAACAGGGCGTACAATATTGACCTCCGAAAATAGGATTTAATATCCCCTGACGACTCGCATTGAACCCTATGTATGAAACATATGGAGATAACGAACAGAATTCAAGATCAAATGTCCATAAAACAATACAAAACGGGATCAGATCAAACACGGTCCTCCAAAACATCAGGGGTGTGATCAGGTGCCATGGAGGAGTGAGCATCCGCTGCCGACCGGTCACACCCGCCGTGTGTGCTCCTTGTCATGATCGGGAAATAATGGAAAAATCCGTCGTCAATTCAGTGTATAAGTAATGGACTAACAATTAGTATGAAATACGTCAGTTAGCATTTGACTCAATGATAAATTTTATTTGCTGACAAGGTCCTTGTATCGACCACAGAACTTACGAAATAATGACTTTGAACAAGACTGCTGACTGATTGATTGTATATTGTTTAACGTCCCTCTCGGGAATTTCTCACTCATATGGAGACGTCACCGTATGCCGTTGAAGGGCTTCAAATTTAAATTTTTAAATTTGTCAGACATATACTCGGTGCTCAGGGCCATTGAGCAGTGAGGGTTCTTTATCGTGCCAACGGCTACTGTGACACGGGACCTACGTGTTTAAGGTCATATCCGAAAGACCCGTAACTTTCACTTCTGATGCCGAGAGCTTGGCGAAGGAACAGTCACTAACTTTTTTACGTCTTAGGTTTGACGCTGCACTGCGAACGAGAATCGAACCCGGGCCTTCCGATAACGAAGCGAACGCTCTATCACTAGGCTACCGTGAACGGTAACAAGATTGCTGATATTCTTGTTTCATCAACTTGTTTGTCAATAATTTACCTTGTTGTGTGCTATGTCTTGATCAGACAGACGGAATGTTTGACAAATTTTGTATATAAAAATGAGAAATAATTCGTTCAATTTCAATTTACAGACCCTTTGAACACTTCATTCAATTTCGTTCATGGCGTTGAAGGACAACCTTGATACAGTATACTACAGTACAAAGAAAAAGGCAATCACTTTGAATGGACTGAAATAGGAAAATGTATTACATAATTATATAATTACATATCATTTGCTTTAACGTGTTTATTGAGCTTAGAAATAAAGAGCATTTAAAATCACAAATTGATTTGGAATGTAATATAACTTTTCTGAAAAATGTTCATTTTTTTTTCTTTAAAACAAGTTGTAGGAGAAGACTTGATCCTCAACACTTTTAAGATGCAGGCGGCGTGTTCTGTGGATTGTCTTCCTGGCTACATCAAAAGAATAACAGATATCTGTTGTTGGGACTGTACACCCTGTCCTACAGGATCCATCACTAATTCATCAGACCCATACAGTTGTACAGGCTGTTCACACGGATATACACCGAATTCAGATAGAAATGAATGCATGCAAATTCCAATTTCTTATTTTTCGTACGGACATCCTTTTTCTGTTGCTATTCTGGTATTGTGTGTTTTTGGTTCTGTTCTATGTATCGTTGTATCAGTTGTCTTTGTGCAAAAGAAAAATACGCCTCTCCTCAAAGCCACTGGTTTTGAAACAAGCATGGTATTGCTCTCTAGTATTCTTATGTCATATATATCACCATTTGTTTTACTGAGCTTTCCATCATCTCTTTCATGTGCGCTTTCCCGAATAATTATTGGCATGGGTTATATAATGGCGTATTCATCCGTTTTTGCGAAGCTTATTGTTTATAAGAGAGCGTTTGATGTAAAATCTGGAATGAAACAAAAGGCAGCGAAAGGACAACACTTACCAAGACCTTACATGTGTACGATGATGACCGCTTTGCTCCTTTCTCTTGCATTATCAGCTGTTCAGCTACTTGTTATTATTTTCTGGTTAATTATTGATACTCCAGAACATGAGATAACGTATACTCTTACATCAAGTCCTCCATCCGGACACCGTACTTGTAAAGACTCTAACAACTTCAATTACTTCCTTCTTCTTTTCTGGCCCTTTCTGTTAATGATTGCATGCCTTATCCTTGCCATTAAAACAAGAAAACTCCCTGACGGTATGAACGACTCACGTGAAATCATTTACTGCTCATTCACTTCTTTTATCATCTGGTTGGCGTTTGTACCTCTGTATGCTTTCTCAACAACTATTGCTGCACGAGTTATATCTCTTTGTGTTTCATTGTTCATTCATGCAACCGTTTTTCTCAGTTGTCTTTTTCTGAAGAAGATTTACATTGTGGTCTTTAGACCAGAGAAAAACAACAAAGAACACGTAATGAGAAGCACAGCTGCCAGTCCTAGTAAAACTCAGAATACAAATAGTGGCACTCATCATGGCAGTCATTTACAGGAGACAAGGAAAGAGGAAAATACAAACAAATTCTACAAATCATCTGTAGGGAATTTACCAACGAATGGTGAGTGTTATATTTATCGAAATTGTTTTCTTCTCTGATACCGGTATTTAAATTTATTTGTATTAAACTTCTTACCAACATTTTAGTTGGTGTATGAATCTGTGTTCCTTGATTTGATTATGATTGTTATAATGTTAGAGTTGAAGTTACCCTTATTATTTCATATTTTTACAGAACACTTGGAACATGATGTTATCCTCGAAGAGGATAAAGTGTGTGTATCCAACTTAAACAATAAAGGATTTCAATCAGGAGACGGAATTATGCCTCAGATTATACAAGTTAATAAGAATTCTCTCTACAACTCTGAGGCATAGATTAAATTCTGCGAGGACTGTTTGAACATTACGCGGACTCTTCCATTATTTTTTTTCTTACAATATTAGCAAGGAAATTTCACAAAAACATGCTTCTCAAATATTTCGATTAGAGTTTTATTAATTTTGTTTTCTTTCAATTATTTTTTCTTCAAAACATTATCTTTGCATCATAGCTGAAGTTCATGTATACGCCGCAGAAAAAAAAATAAAAACAAAAACTGAAACAATCAATCATTTCATATATTTCCTAAAATATGCTAGATTTTCTTTTGAAGTTTTTTTTTATATTTCTTTTTTAATATCACAAGCCAAATTATTTTGATTTTTCTCCGAAATCCTCCCCCCACAAATAACTTCTTGTAATTTGACGGCACGGCAAATTTTTATCAAATTATGTATAATGCTTGCAATTGGAAAATCGCAAAACAGACCTAAAATAAGCTTTATAAAACATACAGTAAACCAGCAATATTCCCGTCTTCTCACTAAGTAAAATAGCAGAAGATAATAGCGGACGGACGAGCCTCTGAAAATGAAATGACAATGGGGGGTGGGGGTGGGGGTGGGGTGGTGGTGTAAGAAGATTGTCGAATTGAGCTGATAAGTAATTGATTTAGAGCTAACAACGTCACACGATATTTCAGAAATAACTGCTCTTTTGTAAGTTATTGAAAAAACTTAGAAATACTATATGTCTAACATATTTCAAGGAGATGGAAAATATAGATGTTTTATTGTGTCACCTTTGTGTCCGTAATAAAAGACATATTTACAGCTACATCCATTCTTAGTTTTGTACTGTAACGGAGGCGCAGGAAACGATATATTTAAAATTTTCGTTTTTAGCATTCCTTCTTATCTTATGTAAAGCATAAATAGATATTTATGTTGTGTGAATAATGTTACCAAAGCTGTGTATGTAACACTTAGTAAAAATGTTTTTAAAAAAGAGCGCACACATTTGTATGATGCGTCTGACGTCGACGAGTCAACTGCAGAGTGACTCAATGATATGGCCTAACAAATCAGATTAAATTAATATAATTTTATATTTTGATATGATATTTTAAGATTACGAGTACATATTCCATTATATTATTTTTGATTTTTTGTTTATTTTCTTTTTCTGTATAAAAACACCTTGTAATTTTTCAAAGTACTTTAAAGGGCCATGGACGCAGATTTATAATTTTTACCCTAAAAAATGTCCAACTTTAGTACTTGCATTTTGCATGGACCTTTTATGCCGATATTTTGATAAAATAACTTAAAGACATTTACCATATGAAAATTATCAAAACTCCAATGACTGGTCGTGTTTTATTGTTATGCATTTCCCAATTTCACGGAATACAATGTTTCCTTAAGTTGTATGTATAAGGGAAAATAGAACTCGAGAAGTACTAAAAAAAATAAATCAAAATATATTTCAGAAACCTGTTTAAAAAAAGGAAGAATTGTAAGAAACCAAAACCAATTTATAAGTGTTTATTGCTTTTTGTGTGTGATGTGAGCAACGTAAATAAATCAAACTAACCCAACAAATTATAGGTATTAAAATAACAGAGTAAGTGCCAGTGTTTATGAATATAGCTGTTTGGTTTCAATGTATTCCGATTTCGTTGAATATCAAGTATATAAGTATAAAAGTTTGAATCATTCATCTGAACTTATTTTTATCAAATGAAAAAAAAAATTCAAAATTGTAAAAAGAACAACAGTTTGTGTGTCCATCCCTTCAGAAAACGTAGAAAATGATCCAAAACAGATACTGTTAATCCTAATCCCTTTTATCTTTAAATTCAAAATGAGTTTGAAGGAGGTACCATACTTGACAAAGACCCTAAAAATATTTGTTTTGAAGCTATCAGTGCAATATATACTTTAATTGTTAACGATAATCCTCCCTCGCACTATGTATAAGGAAAGGATGATTTGAACCGAAATAAAACATTCTTAGATGCTTTATTTCATTTTTCAAATTGAAATCCGAGGTAATTCCTCAGATACTCTTATCACATTTGTACGTAATACAGAATCATCAAAATCTTTTGATTTAAAATTGAAATCGTCTTAATGTATTTTCAAAGTTATTAAAGTTGTTATTTTGATTTGAAAATATTTTATTGATGAATCAAAATGATTTGAAACAAGATCTTAAAACCTCTTGGTTCCTTTCCGGGAGATAGACCAGGCAAGTAAAAGATTTGCAAGAATGGGTTTAAAGTATCAGGTGATGTTAAATGTTACATTAAGCGATTGTGTGGCAATATGAAAAACAATCTTTTTCTGTATTCGATAGTACAGAAGTAAAATAAAAAAGATACTTTATATGATAACTATGTACTGGTCCCTGCTGACAAAGCAGGTAGCAATATTATCGTTGTTTGTAAGACTCATTATTTTAATTCTATTTTAGAGGAACGGGGATCCAATTCTGCAAGTGGTAATGCAAGTTATTCCCATATCCCCCTTTGTAAGGTGGAAATTTGAAATTCCATACCTATTTTGGATTTCTAAACATCATAATAATACAAGTACAAAGATACACATTGCATACCATTAGACTAATTGTTATATCAATCCTCTCTCTTCCCTCCTGACTAGCCCGCGTGGTGCACTGGTAAGAGCGTCTGCTCAAGAATAGCGGAGTAAGGTCTTTACGTTGCGGGTTCGTATCCCACTGTGGATAAGTGCCGAGCATAGGTCAAAATTTGTAGCTCTCTACCGGCAAGTGATGGTGTTTCCATAAGAGTTAGAAGAGAGACATTTAACAACTAACAAACATGCAAACAAGCAAACATAATCTTAGCAAAAGTATTGATAGCTGTGAAGGAAAAACCTCGGGAGTTTGGACAAGGATATTTTGGAGTAGTTGTATAATGTAAAAGTTTAAGATAACGAACAGTGATTGATCTCTTTAAATTCATACACAATATGAAAATGTAATGGAGGCATAAAACACATATCCCTGGAAATTCCACAAGTGGGATCAGGTACCTATAGTCTAGGGGGAGTAAGCATTCCCCGTTGACGGGTCACATCTTAGGTGATCCCTATACATTGATCAGATAAACAGAACCATCCGTAGTCAATTTAGTATGAAAACGAAGGCTTAAAATTGGTATGAAACAAATCAGCCAAAATACGACCCAATGATAGACTATATTTGCTAACAAGGTCATTATACCGACCAAAAAAAAAATTACAAAATGTTGACAGTAAACGATGCTGTTGAAATCCCTGCAAAATCCACTTAGCATTGAGTAACCTGCTTTGCTTTAAAACTTGATCGTACCCAGAGCCAGATCTTGAGTGGCCAATAAGTAGGGAGATATACACACCATAAGCAGTGGATAGTGGAATATAGATAAAGAAAGGGTGATTTAACTCCTACATGGGAAATGATCCAACCTCTGTTTCAGGTGTCTGTTTTTCTCTGCTCATATTTTTTATTCTTTGATTGTAATATAAACATGGTTACTGATTGCCTTTAGATTCTGATCAACTTCCGAATTAATGATTGATAATTAGTTATTGAGAAGTAGTAAATCGTAAAGCACTGTATTCTCTCCAAAAAGTTGTTCTACATAATAATATAGATACCAAAATGAAAAAGATGAATACATTAAAAAAAAGATAAAAAAAAAATATCTTAATGTTTGAAATTTATAACAGATTAAGAAAAAATTAAATATTGATTTTTTTTCTCTCCATAATTTGCGATATAACAGTAGCATTAATAAAAAGCAGTATTAATAAGTTTGTTATAACAGCAAATGGAAAAGATAATTGAAAAAGTGTATATGTTAATTAAAAATACCGAGTAATATGGGAATGATTTTGGGAACTAGAACTACGTGGAGAAAATTAAAAGCATTGCTTGGCGTGATCAAACATTGTTATTGATTTATTAATTAATAATTGTGTTTTTTACGTCCCATTCGAGAATTTTTAACTCCTATAGAGACGTCACCACATACCGGTGAAAGGCATCAAATTTTGAACTTGAACTATTGAGCTTGAGTGATATTTATCGTGCTAACGTTTGCCGTGAAACGAGTCTCAAATTTTAATATAAAAAGGTCTTATCCGGAGGACCCGCAACTTTCACTTCAAAGTGCAGAGGGCATGGCGAAGGAACAGTTATTACCCATTCCATCGACCTAAGTCAGTCAAGGCCAAAATTCAAACTCACGACCTTCCGATTACGGAGCAAGTGTTCTACCAAAATAGCAACCGTGAACGGTCTCAAACATGTTAATAGTTCAAGACAATTTATCGCTTATATTATTTTTTTTATAATGTAATACATGTAATACACATTAAAGGCATTTTGACATGGCTTTCATTTATAAAGTTTCCGAACCAAATACAATAGAGAGTGATGTATACAGTGTTAATTGATTTGATATCAAAGTAATGTGATAAGGTGATAAAAATAATAACTTTACTACAAAAATGGCTTAAATCATTATCTATTTGTGAACGTATTTTGATTTTCTTTACAGGAAGCCTTATTCTTGCGGCAATTTTTTTTTGGCCTGTTATCGAAAATTCGGGGGTATAAAGTTTTTTGCCCTGTCTGTCTCTCTGTCTGTCTGTCTTTTTGTCTGTCAGTTGTCTGCATGTCTATTTATGTCTTTCTGTCTGTTTGTGTGTGTGTCCTTAAAAACTTTAACCTTGCCCAAAACTTTTGATCGGTCGGAGTTATGGCTATCATATTTTACATACTCATTTCTTGTGACATGAGTTTCCATTTGTTAATAAAATTACTTGACCTTTGAGTTTGACCCTTTTTTGCAAAGAGTTACCCAACATTAATCTTGGCCATAATTTTTAATGAGTTTGTTCTAGGGCTTTCTTTTTCACCTTTGTATTCATCGTGACAAGTCCTTTCCAAGGGTGTAAATATTTCTCATCTTTTGATCTTGACGTTAGTGTTTGGCCAACTTAAAAAGAAAACTAACCTTGACCATAACTTTTGCATGGCCTTTAAATTTCATAGTCTATTTCTTTTATAAGATCTTCCTTTGCATACCAACAATTTTTACCTTTTCACCTTGACATTGAATTGTGATCTACTTTTGAAAAACGTTAATCTTCGCCTCAACATCTGAGCAGTTTGTGCCAGAGCTTTTATATTTTGCAGTGTATCTCGTATGACAAGGTCTTTCCTTCAGTACCATTAATTTGGACAATTTGACCTTGGAGATTGACCCACTTTGAAAAAAACATTAACCTTGACCATACCGTTTGAATGTTTAGTGCTTGTAGTCTCATATTTACCCACTGACACAAGCATTTCTTTGGGTAACAGCATTTTTGATCTCTTGACCTTAGAGTTTGACTTGCATTTGAGAAACTTTAACCTTTGCCAAGAGCTGCCTTCCTGGGGCATCAGTGTTTCACAAACATACTGGAATTAGTTTTATCAAACTGTAAACAGTGTGAAGCCTGATTTTAATTTCAGTTTCATGTGCACATTTGTAAAAGTTATTGACATTCAATATTTCTTTTGTGTTTTTTTTTTGGTCAGATATTGTATAATTCTTTTTATTAGTATATATACTTCCTTCACAATTTGTTTACCTATATTTGTAAGCTACATGGATATCTGATATTCTGTTACGTAGTTACAATCGCATCAATGTATATCAATATCACACATCTATACAGTTATAAATCTCGCTATTAATGAGGAAACATTTGATGCATATT